TGTAATACAACCAAAACTAAACCAACACAATTTGTCTTCCACCACTCGTAAAATCGTTTGATGACAGGTGGTAGCATTCGAAACACGAAACGCGTGATAAAATGAACACTGCGATAGATGCAAAGCGTGCTAAATGACACATTTGCAGCCGACTGATCCCACTACATTACCATACACAGCTTTCTTATGAAAATCGTCGATGTTCTTGATACGCTCGGTCAAGTTTAGGCAAATATAAATAAACCGATTTCGATGGTTGGAACAGATGGACGCATTTCATAGTTACCTGTGCATTTTTTGCCATCGCCACTAAACCCAACCTTGCAGCTGCAGTTGAAAGAACCTTCGGTATTGTTGCACTTGGCATTAATGTCGCAGTTGTGGGTATTGGCGGTACACTCGTCTACATCCGCAGGAACAAATTCTTTCCGTTAATACTGAAAAAAAAAATTGATATAAGCATTTACAGGTATGTTCTAATTGGACGACCTGTAATACTCAACAGGACTGAAAGCTCACTGAAAGTGCACCACGTGCAATGGTGTTTTGGGGCCACTTATTTTCTATCGAGGGGGGGCTGCGTTGGGAGGATCGCATTGTTTTCAGAGGGAACGGCTACAAAATGTGATCCATATATACATAATTGACGTTTTGTTGTGTACTATCGCTGAGTATTTATACGGGTTGTGCCGTATTTTGACAAGCCCGTAGGGCAAGTGAAATTATAAACGACAGGTAAAACTGTCACTCTTGGTGTGTGTCAAATATCACTGAAAGCGCCCACGTCGAATGATCTTTATCATTTAATTTACACTGAAACGACCAATCCGCAGGTAAACAATCTTAAATCAAATTAATTAACCGGCACATCATCAAGAAAGGACACGCGTCTTCTAAGACTAGGTTTACACTAGAGGAAATTGTTCCGGACTCGTGATGAGTCCGAAACGTTTTAGTACCGGATTCATTCTGCCGTTTACACGAAAGTGGACGAGTCCGAAATAAAAACTTCCCGGTTTGGTCGTGTCTCCGGAGATCTTGAATCCGGAATTTAAAGTGGGAACTTTGAATCCGATAACTTTTGAATCCGGAAAGTTTTGTCGTGTAACCGGTTTTTTTCTCGAGTCCGGATATTATTTCCACCTGCAATATTTTGTGTTTGCGGTAAAACCAAAATGGATCTAGTGCTAACATTGCTGGCGGTCTCCGGTTGCCTAATCTGGTTGCAGGTTCAGGCGATAAATGTTATCTTGTGTACCGTAGTATTTCTGAAGAAACGCAAATTATTATTGTAAGGAAGTTTAACGTCAGCCACACTTAATCGCCGACGACGACGACTGCTTGGCACCTGTCCAACTCAAATTTGCCTCAGTGGCATCTGGATCTACTCTAGCCTTTTTTAGGGGAGGCATTTTCCCTTTGTCGATCGAACGACGAAACAACACTGGGCTTGGTAACCATTCCATTTCGAATGTTCCCGGAGTTGTCGTTGTGTGTAAACGGTCAGGAATCCGAATATCCTTTCAGTGTAAACGCCTACGAATCCGAATACTCCAAAATTGATGAATCCGGAAACATTTACGAATCCGGAAAACTCTCCTCTAGTGTAAACCTAGTCT